AAAGGAAAACTAGCATATTTTGTATTTAATATAAATGAAGTATTTGAAAGTAAAAAAAAAATTGTCCATAACATACTAGTTCTTTATGAATTTCTTCCATTATATGAATAAAATACTAGCTATTTATGAGCATTTTACTTTGAATCATTTAATTTATATTAAATATATAAATATTTATAAGTGAAATTTAAAAAGTGTTACACTAATGTTATTACGAAAGGGAAACTAGTAGGTTTTGTATTTAACTTAAATTAAATACATGAAAGTAAAAAAAGAAATTACCCACCTTTTACTAGCTCTTTACGGGGTTCTTCTAGTATATGAATAAAGTACTAGTTATTTATAGGCATTTTACTCTGAATCATATAATTGATGTTAAATACATAAATATTTGTAAGTAAAATTAAAAAAGTGATATGCTAATATTTTTACGAAAGGAAAACTAGTAGGTTTTGTATTTAACATAAATTAAATACGTGAAAGTAAAAAAAAAAAAAAATTGCCCATAACATATCAGCTCTTTATGGATTTCATCTATTACACGAACAAAGTAATAGATATCTATGAACATTTTACTCTGAATCATTTAATTTATATTAAATATACAAATGGTTGTAAGTAAAATTCAAAAAGTATTACACTCATATTTTTACAAAAGGAAAACTGGTAGGTTTTGTATTTAACATAAATTAATTATGTGAAAGTAATACTCCAATGCATATGAGGACCACTGGTTTGATCACAATTTCCTTTCCATTTTTGTTCTTGTTATTTCCTCTATTTCTTTTGCTATATCTAGAATGTCATATAAGATCACATATAAGTGATATGTTATCTTCTTGCCAAATCACAGCAGGCACAAAAATGGCGCCAATATTGCAGCTCAATTGGCGCCTTACTCCCTAATCCAGCTTTAATTCATGTATCAGGAATCAAGTTTGTGTTATTGTTGTTAAACTTAATTAATCACTTTAAAAAAAACTTAATTAATCACTTTAGATGCCTTTTTCTCCAACTAAACGGTAGTAATAAACCCCAATTTCATAAGATATATTTGTAATTTTGGCCTTTATGATGTCCGGATCGCAATTTTGACAACCATGCTTATAATATGCATATGATAAATAAACTACCCGAAATTATTAAATTTAATTCAAAATGGAGGTCGCGATGAGGGTTATGACAATGGGTATAGACTTTAGAGTTAATTCTAACTGCATCACGCTTTAATAAGACACAAGTAATCTACTTTAATAGATGATGAGAAATTTCTATAGTGCCATTAGGGTATTATCCCATTTGGTCCAATATTAATTGGTTTCATATATATTTAGTAATTTGTATTCGACTAATGGTGATACCCGAATGATACAATAGCATCTCTCCTAGAAAACTTTTGCTGCTGTAAATTTTTTTTTCCCCTTTTTCAATAATGGCTACTTTCTTGTTATGGAGTTTTAAAAAAAAAAAAAAAAACTCATGAAATGAACACCACGCAACTAACCCATTATCCACCAATTGAGAAATTCCCAAACTACCCAATTGCTTCAAAATAAGAACCATTTTTTCCATTTCCTTTTTTAATCATCTATCAAAATTCTTTTTTTTAAATGCACAGATAGAGTGCACTTTTTGACTAGTTCTATTGAAATGTTCCTTGAAAATTTACACCAAAATGGGTCCTTGTGAGTTAGCAAAATGCATAGTGATGTCCCATGTGGTGAGCAATGAAAAAAAAAAAAAAAAGAACTCACAAGATGGTCCGAATATGAAAGATTCAAAAAGGAATTAATATTTTCATATAAATTAATATATTTTTGATATAATCGTGAGTTTATACCAACTTAATTAATTATAGGTTACGATTTACATAAATTTTGTACTAGTTTACATCAAACTTCTATTTATTTATTTACATAATTGGAGAGAACTGGAACTGGGGAGGCTCCAAATATGTAAAGTAATTCATTTTTCATTTTTCCAAATATATTTCAGTTTACATAATTAAAGGGGCCTGAAACTAGGGAGCAACAAAAACAATGAAGACGGTTAAAATTTTGACAAAAAAAAAAGAAAAAAAAAGAAGACGGTTAAATATTTGTCTCCAAGAGGATACAATAGAACACTTTGGTGTCAAATTCCATCGTATTTTCATTGGTCAGCTCCCATGATAATGGAGCATTTAATCAAAGATAACAAAAATTAATGGGGTGCACGTGGTCTGCCTCGTTGAAAGAATGCAGGTTTTGGTCCTAAGGTCAATGCCTATGTATATTAGGTTGGTCCATCGTTGTACTTCGGGCCCTCGGCCCGGGCCCCCACCCCACGTGTGAAACACTGAAAGGTACAATATGTGGGATTCGGTCAAGCCCATATGCAATTCCAGATTAGGTGGTTTGGACCTTCACATCGAATTCCCAGGTTGGCATCCTCTTAATCAAATCTGTTTCTTTCATTAAAGATAAACATTACAGATTAAGCGTGCAAAATCTCATTTTCGTTCCTCGATGAAAGAAATAAATTCTTAATCAATTTCTTTTCCCGCCACCCTGGGGGGGGGGTCAGAAACATCAATAATGATGTACAATTTCAACTTTGATTGCAAAAGCATATACTAGGCTGTTAAAACTTTTGGCTAAGCAGCTTAGTCATACAATCTTGCCAGCATGATCCGTGGATAAACATTTGTCTTTTTAGTTGACGTGTGTGTTATCGTCAACATTCAGATAAATACATCAAAAAGATCATCATAGTCGAGAATTCTTCAAGTGCTACGAAGAATAAGTTTCGTTTCAGAGACTGTGAAAGTATAATTTTTGTTACAGTATATTTTATCGATCGTGGGTGGGACAAACATATTGAAGTTGATTAACGTCGTGTGATTAAATTGCCTTTTCTTTTCTAGACAGCAAATGCAAGCTAGGAAAATTGGGGACAAAAGAATAGATATGACTTTTATCACGTGACAGTTTTTAAGTAATAGAATGAGGAAAATCAGAAGAGAACACAAGAAAGTAGACGCTAGAAGACGCTTGTGACAGAGGGCAAATTTGGAACACAAGCAGCTAGTTTCAGTGGGAATTTGACTAGCCCAAATCGTGTACTACCATCAACTTTGGGCTCAAGTTGTTTTTGTTTAAAACTTGGCAGGGCCTTCAATATTTGTGCCCGATGTCAACAAATTGCTTAATTCTTTGATCATATGTGTAGATCAGGAATTGAAAGCTTCACTTTGATTATGCAACTTTGGACTCAGCTGACTAGCATAAGGCCATTGTTTTGGGCATTATTATGTGAAACAAGTCCGTTCCTGAAAGGCCCAAAAAAAAAAAAAAAAGACAAAGAAGTAGCGTGATGCTTGATTAGGTCTATGCTATGAGGCCAAGATTTAATAACATTGCCAAACAAGTAACTACCTAAATTTCTTATTTAGGGCAATGTTGTTGAGATTAATCTTCTATATTGTATATATTATCATGGTTAGATGCATGAATATGAATTTAAATTTAGAATTCAAAATTTATATATGTATCATGCATCTCACCGTGATACTATATATACTGTCATTGTATATAAAATTTACTTATATTGTTGAGCTATTTTTTCTCCAAAGTGAATGGTACTTGGTTATCGCTATTTAATAACAAATAAGGTTAATTACAATTAATCCGCTTAAGGTATATCCAATTTCTAACTTTACCTCCTAATTTTTAAAATTTTTCATTAGCCCCTTGTAAAACAAAATTACACTTCTATTATTTTGACTTTTTCATTTATCCTTTTCTCTTTCTCCTTTTCCCCTGCTTTATTTCTTTTTATCCTTCTTTTTTATCTCTCCTCCATCCTTCCTAATAGAAAACTTCATATAAAGTTTATAATTGGGTTTTTCGATGAAGCTTTGAAAGACATTAAAAGCTAATTTCGATCTTTGTATGATGTCATGTATCACAAATAACTATTAATGATCATTAATCAAGTTACAAATTTATCTTGTAATGTTTTCTTGAGAATAAAATGAGAAATTGGAGTGGGAAGGGAAAAAAGCAAAAAAATTGAAAGGTCAAAAAATGGCATCTTGGGGAAGGAGTTTGAATATTTTGTGATCATTTGAGGAAAACAAAAATATCTATAAATTTTCTTTTTTAGTTTCAATCACTAAGATGAAGTTTCTTGTAAGGAAGAGGGAAAAGTAAACAAAGAAGAAAGAGACAAAGAAAATAAAGGAGGGATAAAGGGGAAAGGAAAAAAATACAAAAGAGAAAAAATAAAAATAAGAATTTAGAATAATAGAGGCATAATTTTGTCAAATAGAGGATAGAGTGAAATTAAAACAAAGATTAGGAAGTAATGTGAGAAATGGGGTATACTTTAAGGTCATCAATTGTGATTAACCCTAACAAATATTTAGCATAGCAAAATCAAATGCTTAAGGAGAATGCATCGGACTCTCATGATTATGGCAATGCAATTTTTCCCCCCGATTGAAGTTTTCTTTCATGATACTCGTGTAATTTCAAATCTTGCCTTTGAATGGCTCATTCAACTGTTTTTTTTCCTTTTTTTTTGGATTAAATTACGACTAACCTACAACGATGGGGCTAATGCTGACGAATCACAATTCAACAATTTTGCAACTAAACTTGCAAATAATGAAATAAACACTTTGTGTAGTTAAACTAAATTGAAAACTGGTGAGACTTAAAACCCAAGCTTTTCAACCCTTAAAAACCATAGTTTTGGTTATTATTTTACCACAATCAAAGCCTAATTGGTTCATTCAAGTGTCGTTTTACAGGGAATATGGAGACTTGCCTCAATATACCGACTCCAGTTCTATTCCCAGTACTCCTCCCCTTGCCACACTTCACTATTTTTTGCTGACTTGTGACTTTTGAATTCGGTTCAACCAATCTAACTAAAGGCAAGCAGCACTAAAAGAACAGAATCACTCACTTCAATATGCATAAGCTAACATGGCACTGTTGTGATGCACGAAAGAATCAATCTCAAGAAAACACAATATTCCCAGTCAAAATTCTACCATACTCACCAGTAAGTTGATAATAAAATACTGCAGTAATTATCTGTCTAGAGTAAACTGTATCAATAGTGCTGCAATTAGCTTTACTACAACATACTGCAACTATAATTTTGCGGAATTATTTGCTTGATGTTCTCCATGCGGAGCTGGAAATGCCAAATATTTTGGAGCTCGATCTCCAGGCATCAACACCGTAAAGCTTTCATCATGCTTTTGCTCAGCAGTCTGATTCTAGAAAAAAACATGCATGAGGGAAGATTTCTACGAACAAAAAAGAGGATTGAGATAAATATAGAGCTTGTCGCAAGAGTGTAAAACTTTTTTTTGGTTTTTTTTTTTCGGAAGAAAGCCAAAAAGAAAAAAGAGTTAACTGATTGAGGCAGAGAAAATGTTTCTGTACCTTAATTATAGGAGAATGGGGAAGAGTGGAATCTGAATGATTCTCTTCGATGGCATCGGGGGTGGAAGAAGGTTGAAGAAGGCTTCGGATCTTGTTCCAGTTGTAGCAACAAGAAAAGAAGCCACTAATGCATATCAACAAAATGATAAGGAGGGCTAAACCTAAAGGAAAACTTATAGAAGGCCCTCGAGATCCTTCGTTCGGCATCTCACTTCAAAATATTAAAAATCTTCACTATTGCATAAAAAATTATGCTGCTAGTTTCTGGACTATCGAATAGAAATACCAAAGCTGCCTGAGCCTCTAATTGTACTATTGGTGGTTTCAGTTGTCCCTATTTTTTGTCAAAAAAAAAAAGGGACTAATTGCGGATGGGAAGTTGCTGGGCTTCTAATAACCAGTAAAGTAAGACTAAGCTTGTGGTACTTTTGCCCGTACCCTTTCTTTCCTTCCTTGTGCATGATTAGACGTAGTCCCATTAATGGATGAGACATTTGTTGGTTGGTAACAGTGGTGGAGGGGGGAAAAATTCAGAGTGTGAGGCAACATATAATGGTTTCTGTCAATCAGCAGTTTTTTCCTTAGACGGGACGACATTAACAAATATCAAGGCCATTGGGATCGACCCACTTTAGCTTCAAGGGTTTCTCATTTAATATCTTGTTGAATATCTTTGACAATTTGCTCTAGTAAGGATTCTTGATTTCACAAGCAGACTAATGAATTTAGATTCTGAAACAGTCCATAATTTTCTTAATACAATTAGGACGATCGATCATGTGTAGGATGACAAGAAAAAGATGCATGTTGTGGCCCTAATGCTAATTATGATCCCAACTAGGCTCATGTTTTCATGCTATCAATTTGCCTGGTCCGGATTCATGGGACCCTTCATGCGATCTGGTTGTTTTCAGTTCCATGAATGTATCTGTTGAAAGAATGTGGCAAGTAATGTTTTACTTTTATCATTTTCTAGGTTTTAACATGTTGGCTCCAAAAGATCAATAGTTCCTAATCTCTACTCAGCACAATAACCATTGGAATGTTGATCGGTTCCACTAAATATGTAGGCATCCTGCATCGAGCCAAATACGCGAAAATTTTGCTAGCTCGCTTGAATTTGTAAGAGAACGTAAAATTAATATTTTGAAGATAAAGGACGTTTAGTTGTTAAATGTGAGAGACATTTTTAATAAATTTCTCTATAATATTTGTAGTTAAAGAGTAGTATCGGGGCACCCTTCTTCCACATTCTTTATTTTCTTTTTTGTTCCAAATAAATTACAGAAAAAGTTATACCTTATAAGCATCCAAAATATTTGTCAGACCCTAATGCCTGCATGTATCATATGATAGAAAAATACCACATATACGCACCATAGTTTTAGAATTATTTCGGGAGTGTGAATCTTTAAGTGCTCGTAAATAGCCAATAACTCCACACCATTGACTCCTCTTTCATACTATCAAAGATTGAAAATAACATGTTTCTAGCTTTTCAACTAAAATAAACCTTTTGTCCAATAATTTAAAACTTGTCCTAAATTCACTGTGTAATATTTTTGGCAGCCAACATCAGCAAATTAGGTCATTCCACTCTTAGCTCTTGATATTGGTAGAATTCAGCCTCAAGCTTTCTTATCTTCTTCGACACGACTGTTTTTCTTCAACTGTAATCATGAGTTCAACTTCAAAAAGATGCTTATCTGAAGATCAAAATGTGGCTGGGTTACGGTGATCCACGAACTTTTTACTTTTTAGACCAGATCATTAATTATTATCTGGAATAAAGCAAAGATATACCTTATTCCAAGTAATGGTGCTTTTCATGCTTTTCATGAAACATGATCCAGATAATGAAAGTAATTAAGTAACCTTCTGAGGTAAAAATAAATCCAAGAAAACTATGTGCTCTTTCTACGTTTGGCAGTCGGATTTAATTAGCATTTGATAACTGTTTAACGAATTAGTATTAAAATCAGAAATCAAGTAGTATTGCTTTCTTTTTAGTGTTGTACACCTTTTTCAATTTCTCATTTTGATTAACGTCCATTGTTTTTCTTGATCATAGGGGGAGCTTGTAAAATGACTTTAAAAGAAGGGTTAATTACATTTACCTCCCTTGAGGTTTGACCATATTACCAATCAATCCCTGTAATTTGTCCAAATAACGGTCTCACTCTTTGAATGATCAAACATTTAACAAAAACCCCCTTAATGCCGAAAATGCCCTTATTGAGGCCATGTTGCATTAAAAAAAGAACATATTTTTATTTTATTAACCCTAAAGCAATCCACAAAAATAGAAAAAAGTTTTTGCTTATTATTTTATAAAAACCATATCTTTGCTTCCATAAATAGTTTTGAATCAATAATTATTTTAAATCTTAAAAATAAATATTAAAAATTAGATAAATTGAAAGAAAAATAAAAAAGAAGAAATTATTTTAATTCCTGGAGTATGGTTCAAATTGAGGAAAACATGCCTTGTGCTCTCCGCAACATGACTTGAACCACAAATTCGAGCCATACTTGAGGATTTAAAATAATTGCTTCTTTTTTATTTTTCTTTCAATTTATCTAATTTTTAATATTTATTTTTAAGATTTAAAATAATTACTGATTTAAAACTATTTATGGAAGCAAAGATATGGTTTTTATAAAATAATAAGTAAAAACTTTTTTCTATTTTTTTGGATTGGTTCAGGGTTAATAAAATAAAAATATGTTCTTTTTTTAATGCAACATGGCCTCAATAAAGACATTTTCGGCATTAAGGGGGTTTTTGTTAAATGTTTGACCATTCAAAGGGTGAGACCGTTATTTGGACAAATTACAGGGATTGATTGGTAATATGGTCAAACCTCAAGGGAGGTAAATGTAATTAACCCTTAAAAGAACTTATAACTGCTGCTGCATTCCATATTTGTTTTATGTAGCTGGCAGAAAAGGAGATTTTTTTTTTTTTTAAAAAAAAAAAGAAGAGTCAAGTGTTTCTTGAATTAAGATTGAAGCATGATACTACTCAAAAGAATCATCGTAAAAGATTCTACGAAAACGTAACTGGAGGATGTTAACAATAATCATAGCACTTTATTGACAAAGATGACGCATGAAAACACACAATATATATATATATATATAAGCTCTATCTTTTGTCACTAAGAAAAATATTATGTTTACTTATGTCTCTTGGTGGATTTTATTCTTTCATTGGTAACAATTAATTATAATTATTTATTACTTTCTTATTTATAGTAAATTTCAGACAATCGATTAATTGCCTACTTTATATATGTTTGTATAACTTATGCTTTATTTTATTTTCTGTTAATAGCTTTCCTTTTTTAATCCTCTACAATCACATTCTCTATTCCTATTATTGAATTGATCATTTATTACCATTACTAAAATTTGGATGAACTTCCATTTTTCTATTTGTTTAATACTTCCTTATATATAGTAAATTTAAAACTATTAATTCCTTGCATTATTTATGTTTACATTGATTTTATGTAAATTTCAGGAAATCCTAGTTTATAATGCAGGCCAAGAGATTTGATCCCTTGACCTACATCCAAGTAGAGTTTTAAGGCTCTCTTAGTGGCCATGGCTTGTAAGCGGTGGCTTGAATCTCGAATCTCTCACTTACACTTCCTCCACCGGAACCGCAACAAATAATAAGTTCATTATCTGTTAGTTTGTTTTTTAAAATTCCTTTAATCATGAAAGAATCAAATATTAAGTGCATTTATTTTGCAAATATATCTCATATGCTCATATTTAGACATACCACCACTAATTAGAGTAAACATAATTAAATCATGGAACAAGATTTGACTGAAACTAATCATTAAATTGTTATGAATTAACTATTTTTAATCGATTTAAATTGTTATTAATTTTTGTTTTACAATCAGTATATAAAACTTTATAAAATAGTTTTTTTTTAGTTATTTATATCTTTTGTTCAAAAAATAAAAACTTTAGAGCATAAAAAGCTCCCGTGCAAATGCACAGGTGAATAACTAGTAAATGTAAGAACATCATGACATCTTAAGTGCATCACAGCATCTCTTGAACACATCAGTTTTATGGCTAAAAATGGATAGGATGTTTAAAGCATCATTTGATCAAGCTACTACTGGTGGCGAAGCAGACATATATTTCCTCGAACCTCAAGGAATCCGAGTAACTGTTGCCTGTTGCTTATCCTCATTAGTTAAAGGCAGGAAAGCAAGCTGTAAACAAGTAAATATGATATTTCAAGGTAAATTAGTTAAAGTATTCTATTGACCTAGGGACTAGAGGTCTTTAATTTTTTTTAATTTTAAAAAATATATTCTCTGCGAGTGCGATTCCACTTGGACATGCTAATTGCCAAAATCACATGGAAGCCCAGCTAAAATCTATTGGCTAAGTACTCTTCAGTACCTGCACGGCCCAAAAGAGGATGGGCTAAATAGCATCTGGTGACACGGCAAGAAAATAAATGCGCCAACGGCCCAAGAAGGCAGTGTTTGGACACGAGGAAAGGAACGCCATGGAGCATTTTGCTCCGTGGCAGCTTCTCGTCTTAACCTTCTTGTTTCATAATTTGCATTTCGTTTTGTTTGTAAAGTTTCTCATCATCTCTGAATTCCCTTTCAGTTCTCCCCATTATGCAACACATACTCTATATATATATATATATATATATATATATATCTATCTATCTTAGCTTGGCCTTTTAAGAGAAGCAAGGTCTGGTCGCCTTCTTCAACATCATGTCACAGCACTAACTCTACTTTGCACTTCCAAACTTGTAGTCAACTTGTACTACTATTTTATTTTATATACCAAATTTTAATTTTAGATACTTTGTACGCAAAATTCTCAATTTTGGATACTTCACGCTTTAAATTCTCAAATTTATCGCATTTAAGTCAAATCAATGATAATGTTAGCAAGAATTAGTGGCATAAAAGACCCTACAAATCAATGATAGTTTGTTAATGTAGTTAAAAGGAATCAAGGTATTGCTGTTAGAACAAATGATACATTATCATTAATTCACACCATCTTTTATTTCATTAATTTTGACTAACAATATTAGTTATTGAAACTATACAAATCACTAACAATATGCTGAAAGCCGTCAAAAAGGTTCTAAGGGATTGCAACTAAAATAAAACGATACATTATCATTAATTTGCACGATCTTTTATTTCGTTAATTTTGCTAACAATATTAATTATTGACCATATAAATCAATAACAATGTACCGAAAGTAATCAAAAGAAACTAATAAATAAAATAAAATAATACATAGTCATTAATTTGCAATATCCTTTATCTCATTAATTTTGTTAATGTTGTCATTGATTGTATTTAAATGGGGCAAATTTGAAAGTTTAGGTTATAAAGTATTTGGAACGAAGGGTTTAGAATGCAAAATGTTTAAAATTAAAATTTAGGATAAAAAGTAAGTTAAAGAGTGCTAAGCAGAACTAGACCTCGTATCAAAAGATTCACAAAACCAATTCTAGGAGCAAAATGAGTTTA